TAGCCATAACAGAAACCAGTCTGAGAGAAGGGCAGGACTGGCAGCTCAGTGTTCCTGGATACAGAAGCTACAGGCGTGACAGAAGTACAAGGAAATGAGGAGGGGGAGTTGCCCTTGTGATAAGGGAGGACATAACAACAGTGCTCAGTTTCAGTTGAGGTTTCCTAAATCAATATGTAGAGGGCCCTACTCAGGAGGGTGTTACGCTGGACCTCCTCTTAGGAAATGAGGTCAGGCAAGTGTCAGTTGGAGAGCACTTCGGGTCCAGTGACCATAACTCTCTTAGTTTTAATATAGTTATGGAAAAAGATAGGACAGGCCCACAGGTTAAACTGCTAAACTGGAGCAGGGCCAATTTTGGGGTCATTAGGCAGGATCTAGCAGAGGTCGATTGGGTGAGTCTGTTTGAAGGAAAAGGAACGACTGGCAAATGGGAGGCTTTTAAAAGTGTGAGAACAAGAGTCCAGGGGCAGTATGTCCCTGTTAGGGTGAAGGAAGAAGCTGGCTGGAGTAGGGATCCCTGGCTGACAAAGGATATTGAGGCTCTGGTCAGGGAAAAGAAGAAGGCACACATTGGGTTTAAGCTATCGGTCTCAAGTGAATTCCTAGATGACTATAAAAAGTGCAGGAGCACGCTTAAGAGGGAAATGAGAAGAGCAAAAAGAGGATATGAGATAGATCTGGCAGAGAAGGTTAAAGATAATCCCAGTGTTTCTGTAGCTATATTAAGAGTAAGAGGATGGCTAGAGAGAGAATAGATGCTCTTAAAGATCAGCATGGCCATCTACTTATGGAGCCACATGAGATGGGGAAGATTTTTAATGAATATTTCTCCTCAGTAAACACCGAGGAGCGAATCATGGATGCTAAGGAAATAAGGGAAACTAGTGGGGATGTTTTGGACCGCATACATATTACCAGAGAGGAGGTGTTTGCAGCCTTAAAGTGCATGAAGGTGGATAAACCCCCTGGGCCTGATCAAGTCCATCCTCGGACATTGTGGGAGGCTAGGGAAGAAATTGCAGAGGCCCTTGCAGAGATTTTTACTTCACCTTTAGCCACTGGTGAGGTTCCAGAAGACTGGAGTGTGGTTAATGTTGTTCCATTGTTTAAGAAAGGTAGCAAAGACAAGGCAGGGAAATACAGGCAAGTGAGCCTTACATTAATAGTAAACAAGTCGTTGGAGAAGGTACCGAGGGACAGGATCAATCAATATTTGGATAGTCAAGGTCTGGTTATGAATAGTCAGCATGGATTTGTGCGCGGGAAGTCATGTCTGACAAATCTTTCCGAGTTTTTCGAAGAGGTAACCAAGAGGATGGGTGAGGCTCGGGCAGTGGATGTTGTCTATATGGACTTTAGTAAGGCCTTTGACAAGGTCCTGCATGGCAGGTTAGTCACGAAGGTTAGGCTGCATGGAATCCAGGGAGAGCTAGCTAATTGGATTCAAAATTGGCTTGATGGTAGGAAGCACAGGGTGTTGGTTGAAGGTGCTCTCTTGGACTGGAGGCTTGTGACTAGTGGTGTGCCTCAAGGGTTGGTGCTGAGACCTTTGTTATATGCGAATGTACAAGGCATGATTAGTAAGTTTGCGGATGATACAAAATTAGAGGTATAATTGATAGTGAGGAAAGTTATCAAAAATTACAAAGTGATCTTGATCAGATGGGGAAGTGGGCTAAGGATTGGCAAATGCAATTCAGTACAGATACGTGTGAGGTGTTGCACTTTGGAAAGTCAAACCATGGTTGAGTCTTTGGAACTCCCTCCCTGAAAAGGCAGTGGACGCAGAATTTTTATTTGTACTGAAGGCAGAGGGAGATAGATTCTTGATTACCATGGGGATGAAAGATTCCCAGCAAATATACAGGAATACTGAGCTGAGGTTGAAATCAGATCAACCATGATCTTGTTGAAAGGCAGAATATGTTCAAGGGGCTGAATGGCCTATTCTTGTTCCTTGTATGTTAGCTGCCTGGTTTTGTAGGAATCAGATCAGACTGAAAGGAAACACAGAATTTCTTCTAGTTTGCAGGGGAGAAATCTGCTCAAATTCGTATTTGTTGATTATTACAAAAAAATGAACGTGTTTTTCCTCTTTGAGTGTTTCAGGTAGCAAACACTAACTGCTATAAAGACAGGGCTTCAATAAATTAAACGGTAAAGTAAATAGAAAGTAAATTAAATAGATGGTAAACTAGATCAAAACAGAAGAACTATTTCTTCTGTTATGAAGCACAAGATCATTTCTTTGATAATTATAAACATTAAGTAACAAAGCGTGCCCAGCTTAGTTTGTTCACCATAACTTTAGAAAGCTTTGAAATGTGATGTCACTCACTTCAGCAAATAAATAAAAATGGACGAAGTTTAGATATTGCACTTATGAAAATAAACTGAGGAAATGGAGAAATTTAACAAGCCAATTGGTCTCTGTATCTTAAAAGATAAATAAATTCAAAATTTCAATCAAGTTAAACATAATACAGCGGAGATAACCAGAATGACTGTTTTATCTATCTCCCCCTTTTGTTACTTGCAGAAAATATTGGCTTTTTTTTAAATAAAAGAGAATTGATAGCAATTCATGCATTTTTGTTTCTATATATGTTTCTATGCCTTAAAGCTGAAAGGCTGGGCTGGATTTCCTGTTTGGGTTGTGGTGGGGTCAGGGAGAAGTGACAATTGTCTGTCTCCCACCCAATGTCCAAATGGTTCCCGATCAGTATCCCTCCTGAAACTGTATGCCCCACAAGGATAATCCTGCTGGAGCAAACTGCATTGATTCAGAATGGGACTTCCACCCCCAGCTCTGTATTCCCACTTATAGCAAAATCGAGTGGAGTCTACTGCTGGCTGTCTGAGCACGTCCTTGAGGAAGAGGAGACATGGAGCCCAGACGCAGAGATAGGTCTGAATTGGGCCTGGCTCTCAGCTCCCAGAGTGTGTGTGAAGAGTAGGAGGTGGGGACACAATAACTTTAAGGTAGACGGTTTACCTGAGGCCTTGCTGCCTGTCTGTAATATGGGGTCAAGTTTGAACAGAATAGAAAGCAGTGGGCAGGCCATGTGCTTTGTTTCATGCACCATGACCTACACATGTACCGAGGTGGTTGGGGGATTGTGGCATCTGTATAATCCAGCCCACTGTTCCACTTCCCAAAAAGCCAACTTTCTGCTCGATAATCTCTCATTAGTCAAATTAGCATCATGGAATATATTCTACATACACATCGATATCCACCAGTTCTGAAAAAGAGTCAGAGCAGATTCCAGATGTTCACTCTGTTTCTCTCTCCACAGAGGCTGCTGAGTTTCTCCTTCTTTCTCTGTGTTGTGTTTGTGAGAGAGTCTATGCCGCTCACAATGAATTGACTTAGAACACGCAGGAAAGAGAGGAACACTTTCAAATTTGTGTCAATATGAAAATCAGGAGGACAGAAACTGGCCAGACAGCAGGTACTTAGGGTAGAGAGCGAGCACTAGAATTTTACAAACTGGGACCGGTCCTTAACTTGTTGGTCGGGATACTGTTGCGATACTGCATAATATATCCATTGTCACATGGAGATGTAGGCTATCCCAGGTGAAGCTGTGGTGAATATTCAGATTGGTTCCTTTATCTCAGTGTTCCCAGACTGTTTCCCACTTTAATTCAGTATTAAAGCTGGGAAATTGCTCTGTCCTCAATGCGGGATATGGGAGGAGTACATAGAACATAGAATGTAGAACAGTACAGCACAGTACAGGCCCTTCGGCCCACAATGTTGTGCCGAACTTTTACCCTAAACCTAAGGTCTATCTAACCTCCACCCCTACCTTATACTATCATCTATATGCCTATCCAATAGCCGCTTAAATGCCCCTAATGAGGCCGACTCCACTACCCTCTCCGGCAATGCATTCCACGCCCCGACCACTCTCTGAGTGAAGAACCTACCTCTGACATCTCCCCTATCTACCTCCACTCACTTTAAAACTATGCCCCCTCATAATAGCTACCTCCAATCCAGGAAAAAGTCTCTGGCTGTCCACTCTATCTATACTTCTGATCATTTTGTACACTTCTATCAAGTCACCTCTTATCCTTCGTCGTTCTAAAGAGAAAAGCCCTAGCTCTCTCAACCTTTCCTCGTAAGACCTTCCCTCCATTCCAGGCAACATCTGGTAAATCTCCTCTGCACCTTTTCCAATGCTTCCACATCTTTCCTGTAATGAGGTGACCAGAACTGGACACAATACTCCAGATGTGGCCGAACCAGGGTTTTGTATAGCTGGAGCATAACTTCATGGCTCTTAAACTCAATCCCTCTATTAATGAAAGCTAAATGTTTGAGAGCAGCAGGAGGAGGGTCAGTCGTTGTTGCCTTGGACCTTGGACCCCACAATTTCACCACTTGGGGTCCTCAGATCCACTTTGGGAAATACTCTACCTCCAGGTACTCAGAAAAGATTACCTCCAGTAACAACCTGAACTTGCTGTTCCCTCTGGTATTTGAATTGTTGTTCAACAATTGCTGCCCAGATGTCTTCACCCCCTCTTGCTGCAGACACTGCAGTCTAATTCCACAAAACAAACCTTTTATGAATAACCTCAATTACAAACAGAAAAGTTTGCATTCAGGAGACAAAAAGCCAGCTTCATAAATTAGGATGTCAACAAACAAGAGACGAATCTTGAGCTACTTTGTTAAAGGAGCAGATTATAAGTCTGAAAAAATTAAAGTATCTTTTCTCTATAATGTCACAGAGGTTATCTTAGTGACCCATTTGAGAAATAATTGGAAAAGGAAAATGGGATAGCTCAAATGGAATCCAGAACAGCAGGAAAAGTAGACAGATGAGAATAAGACTGCTATTTTACATGCATGCGACCTTCAGAAATAGACCACTTGTCCCATGATTAGTCTATGCCAGTCTGTACAATATGTTGGCTTTACTGCATTTTTACAGCATTTTAATTTTCTGTTGAACATTTTGATCTTTAGAATATTAACCTACAAGTTACATGTAGGAAGAGGTGGGCTTGGGTGGATCCTAGGCTGTTCCATGCTTGAGCAATGACACGAAAGATTCCACAGTGTTTGTAGATGTGTTTGATTCCTGCTTCAGCTGAGCTGAGATTAGAGTAGGTCACTGCGGTCCCATCGCCAAATTCCATCTGTAAACTGGTCCTTGGCACATCTCCCTGTGCAAATGTAATAGGTAAGTCCACAAGCTGGTTAGCAGGAGTTGAAATATGTGGATAGAGCCAATATTGTATTCTCATAGCAGTTGTTTATTTTTAGGTTAAGATTTACAAGATTGCACATCCCATCTCCAGTATCCAGATCATAAACTAAAATTACAAAGAATTTTCAACACAGAAGCAGGCCATTCTGCCCAACAGGACAATGAGCTCTTTCTGAATCTCTGCCATCTTACATCATCTCAAATTATTACCCCATCCTTTATACCTCAAACACACACTCTCAAATGCATCCCTTCAGTTCTATTTTGAAAGATTGCAAATGTAAAAATCTTGTTTTTCTCAATATAACGTAAATTCTGAAATGAATATCTCAGCTTTCATGATAGACCAATCATTTTAGGTTCATGTAAGTTAAAAGTATTATTAAAGTTTCTGAGGAAATCACAGAAATCTAGTCTGCAGGTACAGCAAGTGGAATTAATTGCTAAAGGATTGGAGTATAAGTGGAGGGAAGTGTTGCTGCAGTTGTGCAAGGCATTAATGAGACCACAACTGGAGTATTGTGTACAGTTTTCCTCTCCTTGAGGAGGTATGCTGTTACATTACAGGCAGTTCAGAGGGGGTTCATTAGATTGATTTCAGAGATGAGGGGTGGGTCTTATGAAGAGAGATTGAGCAGTTTAGGCCTGCACTCTCTGGAGTTTAGAAGAATGATAGGAGATCTAATTGAGGGATATAAACTATTAAAACGGATTGACAAAGTCGACAGAGAGGATTGTTGAAACAAAAACAGAAATTGCTGGAGAAACTCAGCAGATCTGTAGCAAAGAGAAACAGAGTTACTGTTTCAAGTCCAATATGAATCTTCTTCAGAACCTAAGGTAGGTTTTGAAGGTGGACTTGAAGGCAATGGTGGAAATAAATAAAGTACTTACATACTTTCACCTCAGAAAGCTCTTCTCATCCAACAATATATTTTGAATTTATTAGTGAAATTAGACTGGAAGTGTATCAAAGGTTTATTGGGTGAATTTACTGTCTGTTGCTGCTCCAACAAATGAAGATTGGATCCCTATCCTGAGATGTTGTGAATATCAGTAAAGACATAACATGTAGTCTTCGAATCCCAGGCACAGGAAGGGGAAAGCTTGCAAAGATTTCCACATGCAATTGTATTCCATTGTTATAGCGTATGGGCATTTTGTTTCATTCATTCACAGGATGAGGATGTCACAGGCTAGGCCAGCATTCTTTGCCCATCCCTAATTGCCCAGAGAGCAGTTCAGAGTCAACCACATTGCTGTGGGTCTGGAGTCACATGTAGGCCAGACCAGGTAATGGTGGCAGTTTCCTTCCCTAAGGGACATTAGAGAACCAGAAGGGATTTTTCCCCCGACAATCATCATCAGACTGTTAATTCCAGATTTCTTTTATTGAACTCAAATTCCACTATCTGTCATGGTGAGATTCGAATCCAGGTCTCCAGAACATTATCTGGGTCTCTGGATTAACAGTCCAGTGATAATACCACTAGGTCATTGACTCCCCTTGTGTTTGGAGAATTTTGAACTTGGCTGTCAGAAAGACCACCCACATGACTGAATATATTAGAATCGTAGAATCCCTCCAGTGTCGAAACAGGCCCTTCGGCCCAACAAGTCCACACCAACCCTCAGACCCACCCAGACTCATCCCCCTATAAGCCACCTAATCTACACATCCCTCAGCACTATGGGCAATTTAGCATGGCCAATCCACCCTAACCTGCAAATCTTCGGACTGTGGGAGGAGACCAGAGCACCCGGAGGAAACCCAAGCAGACACGGGGAGAATGCGCAAACTCCACACAGACAGTCACCCGAGGGTGGAATCGAACCGGAGTCCCTGGCACTGTGAGGCAGCAGTGCTAACCACTGAGCCACCCCTGGAACTTGTGTGAAAGCCTAAATATGAAGATGAGCAACATCTTAAGGAAAGTATCAGAGATACATCTGGAATCTTCCTCAGCATATTTTATGAGAGTAGGAGGGGAAAGAGAAGACAAACAATGTAAAAGTTACAGTCTGAACACTTTCTTTCCACACGTTTCACTCAAACATTTCCATATTTGAATGTTAATTCAATAAATAATGTCTTTATGCCATCCATGCACGCATCAAACACAACCTAATTATCATGTTATCTCCAACAGTGACACTTGGATAATTCAGCATCAGAACATGGGATAGATTGAAATCTCATTCATTAAGAAAATGTTGACAGTTGCAGAGAAATAATGTACTGTAAACTGTGAATTATGAATCAGGTGAGCAGTTATTATGCTACACCAGTGGCTTGAATCCAAGGAGCAACCAATAGCTAAGGCATTAGTCAACAGGTTTGGAAGTATCTGTGGATAGAAAGTGGAGTTAATATTTTGAGTCCAGTGACCCTTCTTCAGATCCTCTCTGGATTAAAAATGTTAACTCTGCTTTCTCTCCACAGACGCTGGCTGACCTGTTGAGTTTCTCCAGCTGTTTCTGTTTTTGTTTCTGACTTCCAACATCTGCAGTTCTTTGTTTTATATTAGCTGAAGGATTACTGTTTGGTTTAGTAACTGAAAGGGAAAGGTAGAGGAATGGCAGGGAATGGAGTGAGAATGAAGAGGAAGAGTAGAAAAAAGGTTTGAGAAACATTGGGGTTGGAGAAACTAAGAATTGGTTGAGAAGAAAGTGGGACAAAAAGTTTTTTTAGAATTCATTCACAGAATGAGGGCATCACTGGCTAGGCAGCATTTATTGCCCATCCTTAATTGCCCAAAGGGCAGTTAAGAGTCAACCACATTGCTGTGGGTCTGGAGTTACATGTAGGCCAGACCAGGTAAGGATGGTAGTTTCCTTCCCTAAAGGACACAAGAGAACCAGATGGGTTTTTTCCCTGACAACTGACATCAGTTTCATGGTCATTATTATTAGACTCTTAATTCCAGATCTTTATTGAATTCAAATTGTGTCCTCTGCCATGGCAGGATTCACTCTCAGGTCTCCAGAACATTAGCTGGGTCTTTGATTAACAACCCAGTGATAATACAACAAGGCCATCACCTCCCCTTTAGCTAAGTTGCTGGTCAAAGAGGTAAAAAGGGTGAGGTGACAAGGAAAAAGTAGATATTGAGTAGAAGAAGGAAATTAGGAGGAGATAAGAATATAGGAAACATAAGGAGAAACATGCACAGCCAGGCCTACTGATGAGATATTGCCCTGATCTCAATATTGCTCACAAATATCATCCAGAAACTCAAACATTTATTCACAATCTACAGACATGCTTCAATAGCTATTTTGTTTGTCATTGCACTGTCATTTTTGTCATTAAATAATGTAATGTAACTGGCCATTAGAATGGTGCAAATATGCAACTGGTATGAATGAGAACATGATTCCAGAAATCAGCTTTCAATGCAATAACTGGCCTTTAAGATATAATTTCAATTTACAGCCTACTTACTTTAAAATTTTCAATTTGAAGTTTAGGAATTACAGTGACAAATTATCACATTTTAATTATTCGAATATGCATTTTCTATGACCCTGAATTTGCTTCAATTATATTATGAGTACTTGAAAGAATTATCTTTATGATTTTAATATTTTCTATTCGAGGGGCAGCAAACCAATGTTGAGAAGTGGAAGAACCCTCTGTTCCATGGAGTTCCTTCTGGTGGGATCAAGAGTGATATCAACAAATTCCAGTTCAACGTGACACAGTCTCCACCCTAGTGAAAAACTAACACATGAATAAAGTTCTAATCAGGAAAACTAAGCAATGGTTTGATGTATTTATGAGGGGCCTTACAGATTTGGATAAAAAAGAATGGCTAAGTGGTTCAGCAGTGCAATCGGTAAGTGCTATGTGTGTGATCAATCATTCATGATCAGAAAATTTGACAACAGCTAACATCTGTCATCATCCTTTGCATACTTTACAAATGACTTATTTATGGAACTTTTGATGCTGATCAGAATTCTGTAGCACAGAAGGCCATTCTGGCCATCATAAGCTATCCTGTTCTGAGGAAGGGTCACGGGACCCAAAATGTTAACTCTAATTTCTCTCCGCAAATGCTGCCAGACCTGCTGAGCTTTCCCAGCAATTTTTGTTTTTGTTTCAGATCTCCAGCATCCGCAGTTCTATCAGTTTCTATAAACTACCATGGTTCTTTGAAAGAGACGTTAATTAGTCTCACTCATCCGCTCCTTTCCCAAAACCCAATTTCTTTTTCAAGCACATATCCGAACCCTCCTTTTCCTGATCGTCCGTATCAACTGGAGGTGTCCAGTATGTGAGAGGGACAGACAACTTTCTTATAAATCATTACGGAACATATGTGGGCTGATGCAACTGTTAAAATGTTGCAATTGTCACAGAGAATGCATTCAAAAACCAAGTCAAACCAGGGCTGTATTGGTTAAGAACTAAAATATTTTAAAGCCTTCTCAGCAGGCAGTTTATAGGGAGGTGGAATTATTAACAAAAAAGGTAATCTGAAAGCTCTGAAATGGCAAGGTTATTAGGAAGTATCTTCAGAAACTACTGGGAACGCCTGCTACTAAAGGCCAGCAAAGGATGAGTTCAGAAGAAGTCATACTTGGCTTGAAACTTTAACTTTGTCTCTTCGCCAACAGTTGCTGCCAGACCTGCTGAGTACAGCAAAGCAACACTTTCTGTTTTACTTTCAACAAAAGCTGTAATGGACTGCAAATTGGAAAACAACCTTAATTTGCCAATTATCACATGGAGCATACAGCTCAGTAACAGACAATTCAACTCAACCCATCCATGCTGGTGTTAATGACCTGCACTAATCTCCCAACCCTCTTCCATCCAGTCTTTAAAGCATAACCTTCTAATTGTACCTCCATCGTGTTTATGTAACTTTGCTGAAAAGAAATCTGAGACACTGCCTCAACCACTCCTTGTTTCAGTGAGTTCCACATTCTAAACACTGTCATGGTAAA